CACACACCCCTTGGTGCACACAGATCTATCCATGCATGCAGGTATGTATGAATCTATGTGTGTACATAGATAGACATAGATGATGGATGTTGAATAGCAGTGTTCTCAAGCACTGTTCTGATTCTTCTGAAACTTTCTAAAGTTTTTGTAAGAGCGCACGGAAGGATTTGGAATTGAAGGAATTCAGATTTTGGCACTGAAAAATGAGCTGAGGACAAAGGGAAATTACTCCAGGATGTCAAAAGATTTCTAGTTGGAAATTTCAAATTTCCGTAAAAAAATAAAATAAAAACTTCTAGTTAAAAAAATGAAATTGCCTTTTGCTTCTTTTGGAACCTCTAGTTGAATATCAGTTTGCACTTTTGCATGCATCAGGCCAAACCCTGTCTCTTATACACATCTAGATGTGTATAAGAGACAGATATTGAATTGAAGAAAGGGATAATTTGCAAAATACCCCCATAAGTCGAGATATATACCAAAATGCCCCTGAAAGATGTGGGTAGAGCAGAATGCCCTTTTGGGCCGAAATCTTTCTGTTATGCCCCTGTCAGGCGGGTGTGCAAATTTGCAATCTGGACCTCACCGTTTGGGCATGGCCTTTTGCAACTGGGCCTTACGAAATTTGCCAAGTTCTGGGTATTTTGCAAAGTTGGATAAAACCCGATAGGGGTATATCACAAAGATGGGGGGTCCAACCGACGCGAGGGGTATTTCAGAAACTTTCCTTTTTGTCAGAGGGGCATTCCGGTCTACCCACATCTTTCAGGAGGGCATTTTGGCGCATATCTCGACTTATGGGGGTATTTTACAAAATATCTCAAGTTTATATCACTAGTGAAATTGTTTTTTGTTTTTTTTCCCCGACTTCTTTTTTTCTTTTCTTTTCTTAAAGCACCAGTACCTTTGACGGTTCGAAAATACTCGGCCTCCGACCTTTCAGGAGGCCGAAATGAAACGACGGCCGCCGATCAGATTTATCAACGGCAGGCTGGGCCTCCTAAAAGTTCGG